ATGTCATGTATATTTATAAATATTTAGCATTTGAACATGTACAGCGTATACATTTTGTATACTAAAACAAAGCAATCAGGTGCTGGTGAAAATTAGTTAACAATAAAACGAGATTGAAATTACAAAAGGTAATTGGTACTACATCAAAGAACGCACGATAACAAATTGTCCAATTGTTATTTTGATAATAATACAAATGGAATTAAAATACATTGTTAACTTTCGCACATATTCTATTTTTAGAACAATGCAAAGCGACATTTAGCACCGATTCACAGGTGTAACTAATTATTACGTCTAATACGCTAATTATGATTGTTGAAAATTGTAAATTGTAGCAGCGGGGATTCTGTCATAAAATTGACCGAAAAAATAAATTTTTGGAAGCTGTGGTCCTTTCATATGCATTATTGTTTTGATAGCAGACACAAGTATTGCACAATATCTTCAAGATCATTAAAATGTAAATAAAAAATCACAATCAAAATGCACTTACGATTAATAATATGTCAATAATTGACACAATCAATATCCAACATTTTTTTATACCCCCGCACAACAAAGTTGTAAGGGGGGTATACTGGAATCAGCTTGTCCGTCCGGCTGTCCGGCCGTCCGGCCGTCCGTCGGTTTTTTCTTGTCCGCCCAATAACTTGAGATTCCTTTGATCCTTAGTCTTCATATTTGGCATTGAGGTTAGTCATGATTAGTAGATGACCCCTATTGATTTTGAGGTCACCAGGTCAAAGGTCAAGGTCACAGGGGCCTTGACTTCAAAAAGCTTGTCCGCCCAATAACTTAAGATTCCTTTGACCCACAGTCTTCATATTTGGCATTGAGGTTAGTCATGATTAGTAGATGACCCCTATTGATTTTGAGGTCACCAGGTCAAAGGTCAAGGTCACAGGGGCCTTGACTTCAAAAAGCTTGTCCGCCCAATAACTTAAGATTCCTTTGACCCACAGTCTTCATATTTGGCATTGAGGTTAGTCATGATTAGTAGATGACCCCTATTGATTTTGAGGTCACCAGGTCAAAGGTCAAGGTCACAGGGGCCTTGACTTCAAAAAGCTTGTCCGACCAATAACTTAAGATTCCTTTGACCCACAGTCTTCATATTTGGCATGGAAGTTAGTCATGATTAGTAGATGACCCCTATAGATTTTGAGGTCACCAGGTCAAAGGTCAAGGTCACAGGGGCCTTGACTTCAAAAAGCTTGTCCGCCCAATAACTTTAGATTCCTTTGACCATAGTCTTCATATTTTGCATTGAGGTTAGTCATTGATTAGTAGATGACCCCTATAGATTTTGAGGTCACCAGGTCAAAGGTCAAGGTCACAGGGGCCTTGACTTCAAAAAGCTTGTCCGCCCAATAACTTTAGATTCCTTTGACCCATAGTCTTCATATTTTGCATTGAGGTTAGTCATGATTAGTAGATGACCCCTATAGATTTTGAGGTCACCAGGTCAAAGGTCAAGGTCACAGGGGCCTTGACTTCAAATAGCTTGTCCGCCAAATTACTTAAGATTCCTTTGACCTATAGTCTTCATATTTGGCATTGAGATTAGTCATGATTAGTACATGACCCCTATAGATTTGAGGTCACCAGGTCAAAGGTCAAGGTCACAGGGGCCTTGACTTCAAAAAGCTTGTCCGCCCAATAACTTTAGATTCCTTTGACCCATAGTCTTCATATTTTGCATTGAGGTTAGTCATGATTAGTACATGACCCCTATTGACTTTGAGGTCTTCAGGTCAAAGGTCAAGGTCACAGGGGCCTTGACTTCAAAAAACTTGTCCGCCCAATAACTTAAGATTCCTTTGACCTATAGTCTTTATATTTGGCATTGAGATTAGTCATGATTAGTAGATGACCCCTATAGATTTTGAGGTCACCAGGTCAAAGGTCAAGGTCACAGGGGCCTTGACTTCAAAAAGCTTGTCCACCCAATAACTTAAGATTCCTTTGACACACAGTCCTCATATTTGGCATGGAGGTTAGTCATGATTAGTAGATGACCCCTATTAATTTTGAGGTCAAAGGTCAAGGTCACAGGGGCCTTGACTTCAAAAAGCTTGTCCGCCCAATAACTTAAGATTCCTTTGACCTACAGTCTTCATATTTGGCATTGAGGTTAGTCATGATTAGTAGATGACCCCTATTGATTTTGAGGTCACCAGGTCAAAGGTCAAGGTCACAGGGGCCTTGACTTCAAAAAGCTTGTCCTCCCAATAACTTAAGATTCCTTTGACCCACAGTCTTCATATTTGGAATGGAGGTTAGTCATGATTAGTAGATGACCCCTATTGATTTTGAAGTCACCAGATCAAAGGTCAAGGTCACAGGGACTTTGACTTCAAACGTTTGTCTGCCCAAAAACTTTAGATTCCTTTGACCCACAGTCTTCATATTTGGCATGGATGTTGATCATGACTTTAAGGTGACCCCTATTGATTTTGAGGTCACTGGGTCAAAAGTCAAGGTCACAGGGACCTTGACAAAAAATAAGCTTTTCTTTTCATTTGCTATTTAGAATGTCCTGTCCGCAATGTATTGATATTGACAATTTCACATTTGAAGCATGTAGAATACATAACTTAGCAATGCACTGGCTTAGTAACCTCAGATTTTGCAGGGAGGTTGTCCTTGAGCTCTTAATGGCCACTGTTGATTCTGACAAAGTGGTATGCGGGGGTATTCACGCCATGATAGTGGCAGTTCTAGTTTTACTTGAGCAATAATTAAACATGTGTAATCATTCCTTGACAAAAAGAAATGACAGTTTTTTTCTGATATATAAAAAAGTGGTGGAAGTCAATCGAGTGTCGGCATTTCTTTGATGATTCGGCAACAACTACAGGTGTGTAAACATCAAAGATTCACAGATTCTTCAGAAGAGCCGACCAGTCATTTGTCAGAGGTCATTTCGTGTGTAAATTTTGTATTTATTATTTAACAATGGAAACATTATATTCCTTTTATTTATGGATGCTTCTTTTTGCGCGAGTGTTTTTGTGTCTTTTAGCGCTATGGAATTTCGACAATCGGTGATAATTTTCGGTAACTAACAATTAAATACTTCAACATTTTTAAAACAGGGGTGCAAATATCCGCCATTCAGAAATTATAGGAGACAAATCTTGCGTGTGTTATCTTTTACAGACGTGTAATAAATTGAGTAATGATAACCCGAGAGAACGAAATGTCCCGGTGATCCACTATAACTCTTCCAGGTCGTACGGGAATATTTACGCAGGATTAGTTTATCACATCGGTAATTTGACCATGCTTGAATTTATGTCTTATGTAACGTTTTCAATATGGGGATACATTTAGAAATGAACAAGTTAATGTCGTATAAATTATGTATCTTTTTACACATATATTATATTTATATCTATACTTTAAACTCAATATGTATCCCCCCCCTAAAAAATATTTTTACACGTGTACATGTACACTATTTACCTGCCGATGGAGCCGCATACTTGTACTGCGTCGCATTTATACATTGAATTTGAGGTCATGATTCCGCCATTCACGGAAAGTTTTTAACGGTGTTATTTGATTTCGCCGTGGTTATTTATATTTGCTGTTGGCATCAAAGATAATTAGAGAAAGGGCATTTTAGCAAATTACAAGATTTTCTTGATACAACTTCATGTAGATCTACTAATTAATTTTCGTACTTGTACATGTATATCTGGTTTCAAGTTCACAGAGTACAATTATAAATAGATCTACATTTATTATACAAATGAACAATCATATATTATTCCCCGCGAATCACGGCAAATGTTCACGGCAAAATCGCCGCGAGTTGAATTCGCGGCAATTGTCTCAAGTTGCCGCGAATTCGCTCGCGTTTTAAAGCATGAGAGTTCGCCGCGAATACGCGAATTGTGCGGGTTTCGCGTGTCCAGTACTGTATTTATAAGATTTTCTAAATATTTGTTTCTATATTTTCATGTAGATTTGTTGTTAATAATGACACAGATTTATATAAAAGGGATCGGACACTCCAAGTTAACCCTATATAAATTTCCTAAATAATGCTCTACCTCTAAACTAAAATCCTTGAACGCATGTACATGTTATTATTCATTCAAAATAAAAATGTTGTCGAAAATTCTTCGTTGATTTAAAGTATCACAAAAGAAAACGAAAGTAGACTACTTGATTCATTAATATCAAAAGGAAAGAATAACCGATGATTTCCCGCAATTCCCGTGTCACACAGTGACAATTTTTTTTGTTTTTTTAGGAACTGTTGCAGTGATTTAATAGGACTAGAGACATTTAAAGATTAACAAAGTTTATATATCTGAATTATTCTTATACAAAAAAGTTGGGCCGTGTTTATATGTTTTTTTTTGTTTTTAAATCGTTTTTTGTTTTTGATAGAATTTCAGGTTCCTGTGGTTATTGCTACTGACTGAATTAATCGGGATAAAAAAAAACAACTTGATGACGCTTACGGTAGTGTTTTGTCTAATCAAATGTACCTTTCAACTGTTTCACGGTAAATTGAAAACAACAACAGTAAAAATCATCTTTATTTTCGAATCGTAATGATTAATCTAAAATGAAATGTAAAATGAGATTGCACTCTCATTTATTTACACCAGACACTGACATGGTTTTACGCGGTAATACTCTCTCTGAGTCACCACGTGCTGTTTCACTCTCATCACACGTTTCTCACGCGGCCCTCGGTCACTCGGTTTATGGACAAATACTCAAGCGGAGTTGCGAGTGAATTCCTTGATCCTCCGAGGTTTTTGCATATTCATGTTATCTGTACTGTAGATGAGCAATCTGGGGCTATATGGCCCTCTACTGATAGTAGCAATGCCTTCATTGTAAGTCAAAGTTTATGGTCCCTTAACTGGGGCCAGCTTTCAGGGCATACAAGTGTTTGTGATCAGTCATAGTTAATGTTGGTTTTCCTTGGATTCTTACAAATTGTAGCTAATAATATTTTTTGTTTGTTTTAGAAATCAAGATGGCACATGAGATACATTTAAAGAATAACAAATACCGGCAGTGGGTTAAGGCTGGCCTAGGCTTGGGTTACCTTAAAGAGAGACTTGCGCCATTTTGTGATGACATTGGAAGACAGCAGCACAACGATATTATTAACAAAATACAACAAACAAAGACTCCTCAACCAAACGTACCATGTGGCAAATGTCAGATAACAACTCTCCAGCCAGATCATATCCGAGTTTCAAAAGGGATATGTCCCCTCAAACAAGATAAATGTAACTGTTGTTTTCCTAATAATAAGAGACCCTGTCCAAACAATGTATGTGGTGCCATCTATGACAGAATTATACAGTATCATGCATCAATGCCACCAGTACCTTTTTGGAAAAACAGTGATGTCCAACAGTGGTCAACAGAACTGTGGGAGGTTTGCAAATGTTTTATAAATGCTCCTGGGTACAAGGACAAGACATCAGCAGTCGACACTGATTGCACTGGGTTGCTTCATGTTATCATAAATAACAAGTACTTTCATAGTCACATTGGATGTAATTTACCGGACCAAACAATCTTTTTTCAAAGGTAACTCCATTGGTATACTATATTTTTATTTGAAATTTTGTTGAATATTAGGCTTTACTGTAAGATTAAAATGTTGTCTGTTAATTGCCTATAAAAGTAAAAGAGATAATTGTTACCTTAGTGTAGTTATTATGCCCCCACTTCAAAGAAGATGGGGTATATTGCTTTGCATTTGTTGGTCAGTCAGTCCGTAGACCAAATGGTTTCCGAGTGATAACTAAAGAACCCTTAGGCCTAGGAACTTCAAACTTGGTATGGTGATTGGTCATGACCAGTAGATGACCCATGTTGATTTTGGGGTCAAGGGGTCAAAGGTTAAGGTCACATTGACCTTGTAGGTAAAAACAGTTTCCGATCAATAACTAAAGCACGCTTAGGCCTAGGAACTTCAAACTTGGTATGGTGATTGGTCATGACCAGCAGATGACCCCTATTGATTTTGGGGTCAAAGGTCAAGATCACATTGACCTTGTAGGTAAAAACGGTTTCCAATCAATAACTAAAGAACGCTTAGGCCTAGGAACTTCAAACTTGGTATGGTGATTGGTCATGACCAGTAGGTGACCCCTATTGATTTTGGAGTCAAGGGGTCAATGTCATTTTGACCTTGTACTTAATGACGGTTTCTGACCAATAACTCAACAACTCAAGTTGACTTGGTTGATATTTTTATATTAAACTAAAAATGCTTTTGGTATACACATTTGAAGGTCTTATGTAACAACTTGGCTGTCATTAATGAGGCCTGCATGATTCACAAAATTTATGCATATATTATTTGTTAAGATTTGTAATAACTTAAATTGCTGCACACAACCTATGGGGTCACAATGATTATTATTACCTTGTTACCTTGTGACTAGTCATAAACAGTAGATACTAGATAACCCTTATTAATTGTTTGTTCACTCTGGGTCAGAAGTCATGCATAATAACCTGATCACATGACTAATTGGCTGCCGATAGGGGGCATACATGTTTTACAAACTTCTTTGTTGGTTATAAACTCTATTATATAACTTTATAGGAGTTTACCCATTACTGCACTAAGGTGACTATGAGGTTAATGCAGTTATTTTTGTCAGAGAAATAGTTTGCCACATTATGAATAATGATTCAAAAATTGTTATGCATAAATTGTATTCACAAATATTTTTTGTTTGCAATACAATTTTTTGGCTAGCTGTAATTTTTATGGGTGGGAAACAAAAAATATTTTGTATTTTAAGCTTTACTGTAAAATGACAGAAGTAATTATTTGTGCTTTATAAGCAAATGCGACAAGTACCGTAATAATTCTATTTAGCGCCCGGGCTTTTATTAGAATCATAGACTTTTCGAAAGTTGGGGATGGGCGTTAATTGGATACGCATCTTCATAAGAGTGTTAGACAAACTAATTTTCTAAGCAAGGCTTTATAAATCCACTCGCCCCTCATAACTATAAGAAGAAATCGAATCCGAAGATAGAGCGGATGTTGATTTATAATTGCAGACAACGCTAAAGTCGATTTCGGTATCGTAACGTACCGGCTTATGTCTGTTCTTTTCCGCACTTTAATACCGTGCATGTAGAGTCCGGTATCCGAGCACGGGAATAAAAAATGAGCCTCACGCATTTTTACTGCAAAAATATTATGATTTTTCCCAACGAAATATTTATGTAAGGTTACCAATTAACTCTGTAATCTGGGATGTTCTATACAATTCAAAAAGTCAATGGAATATTTCGAGTCCGATCATTATGCATTTTTTACCCGCCAATATAATTGTTAAAAAAAAGTAAGAATAGTTCTGACGGATTTTACTGACACAAGCATATATGTTCTTAAAGGGATTGATGCGGGATTTTGATATAAAAAGATAATCGTCTATTGTTTAAAATAATTTTAATCAGAACTAATCTCCCATGTTGGGCCCCAATACATTGAACCACGCACGTTGACCTTGCTGACGTAATGAAATAGGCGCGTGAGTTTTGGCATCTCGGAATGGTAATTTTTTATACATGTATATATATCTTATACACAAAACACATTGAATTATTGCAACACCTATGCTTGTGTCTATAAAATCTGTTATTAAGGGATATCACGTTTACAAATATACATGCCCAGTCGGAACTATACTTCAGTGTAATTTGGAACCAGAAAATGAGCATAGTGATAGCGCAATTATCGTAAAAAATAATGGATCTCTTGTTGGACATATACCGGAGGGATTATGTCAGCCTCTTACAAAATTATTCAAAGATGGACTTATTGTAGAAATCAGTGCCGAAATACTTGGAGAACCGCGTTCGTCATAAAAAGGAACTTTTGTAAAAGGTGGTGGCATTTAAATACCGTGTACATATAAACTTTACGGAAAAAAAGACAAGAAAAGGGAAGTTCGTTGCTACGTGAAAACGGAAATAGGGAAACTTGAATTGTATAGGTAAGCTCAATTGTACTCAAATCGGGGGATCGGCGTTTAAAAGGGGCAGTTAATTTTTCAACTTTGGGCTGAAAAGTGGCCGTTTTTTGGGGTGGGCGTCTATTAGAGGATGGGCGCTAAATAGAATTATTACGGTAAATACTGTTACTTCAGTAAAGTAATTATAAGATTTATCAAAACACATTTCCACTCCCTTTGCTTTTATATAATCTGCAGTTTAAACACAATAATAATAATGATTATTATGGTAAGTACTTTAAATTAACTCCTTTATTACAGTTTTAATTCTCAACTTAAGAATTGTGTTTAGTCTCATTGCTGAACACTGTATTTATGTGAATGTTGTATTATTTGTTTTCTTTATATTAGGTACGGCAGTACCGAAACGAAATTTTTCACTCGAGCAATATGGAGTTAGAGGAGAGCAAGGCTAATTGTTATATTGATGACATGATAGCTGTTCTACAAGATGGTAAAGAACTTGTACATCGACAAGATGCACAACAAGCTGTCGGGAAACTCCAAGATGTAAGTGTACATAATAAATTATAAGTTTGAAATCTTTAAAGAGTTAAATTATCATAACTTGAATTAAGCACATTTTACTAAATTTACAAAAAAGTGCTCTAAAGCCCCAGTCACATTAGAGCTTACGACCAGTGAAGACCAGTTCACGATCACCAGTGACCTCTGGTCGCGGACAATCTTTAAAACGTCTTACGACGGTCATCGGTGATCTTTGACAGTCGCAGGTTACCTTATTTAGGTCCCACGACCAATTTCAGTCGTAGAGAGGTTTTTGAGCTTGCACAAAAACCTCCTTGCGATCAAACAGGTCGCTAGTGATCTTATAAGGTCTTAAGGCTGTCGCACGATGGTCGTTCGGAAGTGCGACAATCTTACGACAGTCTTTACAAATTGCCACTGGTCACTGATAATCTTAAGAAGTCTTTAGTAATCGTGTGATGGTCGTACGACAAGTTGTAGGTAATCGCATGTTATGTCACGGGTAGTCGTAAGTAATCCCAGGCAATCTTGAGACCATCGTACGTTTACTTATGACCTGTCGTGCGATTGTCAATGATGACTTGTCTTACGATACTCACAAAAGTAAATTTATCTGTGCAAAAATGGTTTTGGTCGCTGACAATCGCTGATGATCGTCAGTTTTACAAGTCGCCGGTGGTCGCAAGTAATCGTAAGCTCTAGTGTGACTGGGGTTTGAGTGGTTACTTCATTTTAGTCAAATTTAAGTAACAACTGCCTTAAGTTAACTTATATTGATGAAATCAAATGAAATACCTACAAATACAAAAATACGGATCTAAGCTTGTTAGTAACAGGTAAGAAAAACAAATGTGAAGAAAATAGAGAATTCTGGCAATCAAATGACTATACCAGACATTCTGCCTTAAAAGAAGATTTTAGAAGCCCTCAGAAAAAGTATGAGAGTTAAAATAAAAAAACAATTGTGGTAATTTTGAAATAAAAATGTTGCTATATGATATAGCTACATTTTATCTCTGAAAGAAAATTGAACTTTTTTTTTTTATCCATCAGCTAAAGCAAAAAGACTTTGTTATCACTACTGAATGCTCTGAAGAAATTTTGAAACAAATCAAAGATGAAATGACAAAAATGCGGGAATTTACCGAAAATGCTGCAACTAAAGATGAATATGAGGAGCTTAAAAATAAAGTTATTGAACTTGAAAGACAGTTGGCAAAAGAAAAAGAGGGACAACTTGAGGCTGGGAAAGAACAGAAAAGAAAGTTTACTGAACTTGAGGCAGTTATAACAGAGCAAAAACAGGTAAAAAATGTTTTCCTTTTGTTTGTTTCAGGTTGATATACCAGTACATGTATTCCAATACAACTACGTCCGTCCGTCTGTGCGTCCCCACTTCATTCGTGTCCGGACTGTAACTTTGTCATACATTGAGGGATTTTAAAATAACTTGGCAAAATGTCTACCACATCAAGACGATGTGTTGCGTCTAAGAACCACGTCCCTACCTCAAAGGTCAAGGTCACACTACCATTTTGAAGTACACTTTATCACAATTAGAGTTTATAGGTACACACATTCATGTCCGGGCTGTAACTTTGTCATGCATTGGAGGATATGTGACAACAAAGACCCATGCCACTACCTTCAAGGTCAAGGTCACACTTATAGTTTGAAGGTACTTGTTTTTTGAGAAGAGTTTGAGGATACACATTTATGTCCGGACTGTAACTTTGTCTTGCATAAAAGGATTTTAAAATAACTTGGCACAAATGTCTACCACATCAAGACAATGTGTCGCGGCTAAGGCTCATGTCCGTCTGTCTGTGTGTCCCCACTTACACAACAATCATGTCCAGACTGTAACTTTATCATGCATTGAGGAATTTTGAAATAATTTGGCACAGATATTTATCTCAAAACAACATTTTGTTGTGTCCAGGAACTTGGTCCCTTCTTCAAAAGTCAAGGGCACACTTATATTTTGAAGCATCATGCTATCACAATTAGAGATTACAGGTACAATAATGCAAAGAACAATATTCAGCAATTAATTACTTTCATTCTCTTTTCTTTTCATAATACCTACATGCTTAAGAAACCTTTTTGAGGCATTCGTCACTTTGGTGACAGCTCTTGTTTCTGTCATAATTATTTTTTCAATTTTAATGAAAAAAAATAGGTAATTGTTTTAAGAAAAATCTCACAAAGAGTGGAAAAAAGTCAAGCTACTCTTTATTGAAATTTTGTACATTGACTTAAACAGAAGTAAACTATATAAATTAAGCAAAAAGTAGGTATTGTGCTCTTTATATAAGCAAACAAGTCTAATTTTGTAGCAGATAACTCAATAACAAGGATGGTGGCCCCCATTTTTATAACCCCCACAAAAGAAGGGGGTATATAGCAGTCCGCTTGTCGGTCGGTCTGTCCGTCTGTCGGTCGGTCCACATCATGGTTTATGGACGATAACTAGAGTTTGAATAAGGTATTGTAATCAAACTTGGTGTATAGCAAGCTTATATGCAGACCGGTCACCCAGGCTGGTATTGCATTTGGATCCCTGGGGTCAAGATCACCATGACTAAAAATAGAAAAATGGTTTCCGGACATAAACTAGAGTTTGTGAATGGAATATTTTAACCAACTTTGGTGTATAGCATCTTATATGAAGATCTCGGTTGGTAATGCATTTCGACCCCCTGGGGTCGAGGTCAAGGTCATCGTTACTAAAAATAGAAAAATGGTTTCCGGACAATAACTAGAGTTAGGAATGAGATATTGGAATCAAACTTGATGTAAAGCAAGCTTATTTGAAAACACCGGTTGTGATTTCAATTAATTGAAATAATTCTTTGTACACTTTACTATTGGTTGAGTTCAAATATTTTTTTCAGACCACTTAATTTTCAAAAAGTCAAAGTTGCTGATGGGGGTTTTACTCATCTTCAGTGATGGTTCCAGTTTAGCTTAATCATAGCCTAAGAACATGCCAAGTTTTAAGGAATTCTATTGTACAGTTATAATTTTGCCTATATATGTATAAAAGTCCTAAAACGTCTTTAAAGATAACTTTGATCTGTAACTGAGCTTGACTATCTACAATTCCTTTTAACAACATATTGGCCAAAACAACAAAATAGATTTTGAACAACGTGAAGAAGTGATCCCCTTATAGTACTCTCTAAAAGTAAAATTAATCATGCCCCTTTGAAATCAATGGCCTATCCTTAGGCTACATGGCTAAAGTGAAACATATTTAGTGTGAAGCATTGCCTAAGTTATGAAAATCATTAACATGGGTCAAATAGAGCCATGCCTTAGTATATCATGTTTATAATTTTTTCTTTTAATACTGAGGACCTATAAATTATACCTCTATATTGTTAAACCTTCTAGAAATGGTCACTTAACCAAAACAGTCTCTTAAGACAAGGCATGATAAAAAAGGAAAATTTTATACGTTTATTACAGTACGCTCACCGCAGGTTTTGCTTTTTCCGTGATACCACCGCGGACTTTTTTTTTTATCGCTGACAAACGCGGGGTTCGTCCGCGATGAAAGCCTAATTTCCCCCGCGATCCCCGGTGTTCAGTTGTTTCCACCGCGGACAAAATTCTGACGACCGTTCTTCATTCGTTGATAGAATCAGTCATCCGTTTCCCGCGGGGGAACGCCATGGTCAGTTGGTCTGTATAAATTAACCTCCAAAAATAATAGACGTTTTATTATTTTTTAACGTCATCTTTTTTACACAATGACTTGGAAATTGACCACAATCGTCTCTTTAAATGTTATTATACGTTAAATTTTTTGAACGGAATTTGAAATAAAAATAATTACAGCTGTACCTGTTTTTGTTGTTGTTTTTAATATTTTTGTTATAAACGTCCACAAAACTATTCGTACACATACCAATATTTTTACAACTGAAATCGTCATTTATCACTGTCATCTTTACTTTTTCATTCCTTGTGGTTCTCAAAGTATTATTGCTGTTAAACTATATGGGAGCCATAAATTGATACTTACTAAAAAAGGACATTTGTGCTGATTTCTCATGCCTTTACAATCATGCAGAGATGTTCATAACAAACTTATGACTTATGGTAATAACTTATCATTGACAACCACACGGAAAGTTATCAAATCCCTAGGTTATACGGCATCTAGGCCGAGATACGGACAGATGGTGCGAGATGTAAATAAAGAGAAACAATTTACAGTAACAAACAATACATATAATACATTAAAGATAGCACAATCATGTGGTGCGACTTTCACACGTCTAAAATACATCTTTGTTTGAACAGACAACGAAAAGCTTGTTTATTATTCCAGCGCTCTTGATGTATGCTTATTATATATAATAAGCACCAAACGCGTTAAAAACAAATTCCTCACCCATTAAAAAAATAATAATTAGGCTGCCTTTTACAAATTATAAACTTACATTATTATCCTCGGAATTAATTTCAATGAAAACTTAATATAATAAATACAAGAAAGCAAAGACAATTACGTTCAATTGTATGTATTTAAAACTACATGTTGTCTACAAATACTATTATTCTTATGAACAATAATATCTTAAGATAAAAATAAAATGAAATATTTTTAACTTGAAAATCGGTCGATGGAAGTTCTTAGAAAATAACTGTCATGACTGCTTGACTGCCTTTTATACATGTATGTGCATGCATACTGTTCATAATAAAATAACAAAAAGTATAACGTCAAGTTAAACAAAATTCTGCAAAAAAAATCTATAAAAAAAAAAAGAACAAACAAACAAACTACTAAAACAAAAATGAAAATAAACTTCAACAGTTGATACAAACTTCAAAAGTTATACATTACGCTCACACCTGTAATTAGATAAATCAAGAATATCATTTAATGTATATTTTGGTGAAATAAACGCTTTTTTTTAATGTTCCAAATAAAATATAAAACTTTATGATCAACATGCAAAAAAAAAGAAACAGTAAAACGCATCTGACAATTATTGAAAGAGACGTCCTGGAATATTGCCTGAATAAATTGTTGAGGGTTACGTTTTCAAAGTTTTTAAATAAGAAACAAAAGCTGGCATATAAATTGTTTTAGTATCTTTTTCATAAATGTCATATGCCGAATTTTTCATCATTTGACTTCAAGTTTCTCACTACCATGAAGTTGTGACGACAATGATTTATCTTGATGTCGAATACATATTATACATTACTTTACCAAACACAATAACAAGAAGAAGAACAAGAAATACACTGCATTTGTAAATGTACTTTTATTACAACAAAAAAGAAAACAAACAAATTTTACATATACTGTAGTTATATGTACAGTACATGTTACAGTACGTACGTATACTGATGTTTAAATACAGTAATTAATTTTTAAAATTTAAGGTTTCCACCGCGTTGACCGGTGTTTGACCGCCGCGTTCCTCCGCAATTTACCGCTGCGTTACGAAGGGGAAACGGTTTCAGACGCCGATTTATGTCCGCGGTGGTGAAAATTTTCTGTCCGCGGGGTCACGCGGACAATATCTGAGCAAATTTTCGTCCGCGGTAAACCTCATCCGCGGGGTCACGCGGGTTTTGAAAAAGCCACGCTGAGCATACTGTACATGCTTTTCTGTGGTTTATAGAAATATAATAGTGATATAAAAACTGGTAATTTCACTGTTTGAAACTGTGAAATTACCACTTTGATAATTTCACTGTTTTGAATTTAAGCCCCTTACCTTGTTTCAGTGAAATACCAGAGTGCACAGAACTGGGTACCAACTTAATGACTTGACTTCGTAAATGACGTGATGTTGTATTATTATTTGGTGCGCTTTTCATTCAGTATTAAGTTTAATGTCTTTTTAAACTAAACAAATATCCTTTATGTCATCTTTCCTCTGCGGTGGAGATGTTTTTTTAACTTCATTTATATAAATGTTTAATAATTTTAACACTGTGATCATCTCATGAGATGTTCAAGTAAAAAATAACTTTCTGATATTTATTTACAAAACAGCTTTGATCCATTACCTACATGTTTTACATTTTCAAATTTTCAAGCTACTGTACTACATTGCTTTTCCTTGTTTTCGACACGTAAAACCTAATTTGTGTAAATGTTTTCTGTGGTGATTTTCAATTCAAAGAAACAAACTACATGTAACTGTAGCTATTAATTTGATTGCTGATTATAAAAGTTCAAGGTCAATTCAATGCAGTCAAAAAATCAACAGTGAAGGGTGTACACCATCTCAGTAAGGACAGGGTGTTGCATTGTTCTATCATTTATATTA